AGTGGGAGAACTTGCACAATTGGTGGCTGACTAAATACTTTTTTGCCCCACTGTATTTATTCCGTAGGGTTTGGTAGCCATGTTTTATCTTTGGTTACTCCAGAAAAGTATAGGTGGGATCTGTAGCCCATTCTTCTGATAGCCTTATAAAATAAGCATGAAAAGAAAAAGGGAAAAAAATCCATTCAGTCTGTCCTAGTCATACGTATGGTGCTCATCTTTTAAGTCAAATATCATATCTATTCATTCTCGCAATACTAGTTCAGTTTTACTCTAACACTCTCAATACTACTGATCTCAGAAGAGCAGGAAATATTACTTCCATCTGCCCAAACATATTTTACCCATGATATATTGTGGAGTAAGGAACATTTCTCAAGAGAAGACTAAATTACTCAAAGCAGTAGAATTCTATAATCATGTTTCAGCTGTGTTCAGTTAAGAAGATAATTTGTTTTGCTATATCTAATTAAGAGAAAATATTGCTTTGCTTTCAGTAATTATTCTCTTGTAGTGTAATCATTGCTGATGTATTTATAGGACTGCATCCTATTGGTCAGATTCTCAGATTTGTTCCACACTATTAAGACTTCACCTCACCAAAATAAACTCTCCAGGCAGATCAGAGATAGATTATTGTCTAAATTCCGGGAGAAATGCATCCACTAAGCTATATAGAGTAAATGTATATTTGTAAAAGACAATATAAAAGTATGGGTCCTTAGTACACAGAACTGTTTTGATATTCTTACCAGCTCAGAGGTTCCCCTGATCAGTATATGTTCATTGCCCCATACCTATGCTAGATCTCAGATAGCTAAGATGGAATAACATACCCCCCCCCAAAAAAAAACCCTGCAAGCAATAAATAGCAAATCTTATGTCTCCAGCTTTGAATCCTTCAGATGGAAGAACTTTTGACCAAGTGTTTCCTTTCACCTTGAAAGGGAAGCAGACTATAAAAGACTTTTAGGGAATATTTACAGCAGTATCACATTCATCCAAATAATAATAATAATTATATACTGTTTTAAGCCTTTTAAGTAAGACAAATCAGATTTCAAGGCCAACATCCTTGCCACCATTAGTCTACAGAATTTATATTCCTGTCTGTCGCTGATTTCCTACCATCCTTTCTCTTTTGCCTGTATTGACTTTCTTCTCTGAAAGCAATAAATTAAATCTTTTCTGGTTGTTTGATTTTCACACCATGTGTAGCTTTTCTTATTTATAGCACATGCTCATATTTTGCTTCAAGCAAATGACAGAAATCAAACAACCACATTGGAAACAAAATTCACCACCAGAAGTATTTCTTTTAATCTTTTTATCCTTCGGTTGCTTGAGGCTGCAACAGAGAGAACCAAGTAGGCTAAATGTATGAGGAAGAAATTCTTCTTGGACTAAAGAATAGCAGCTATTTTAGGAAACTAACTGGATTCATTTGAGAGGTAGTTTTTACAAATTCCTTCTTCCCCCTGAAGTCCTCAGCTCTCCTCTAGGGATGTACTAAACACTTGAAGCTTGAACAGCTGCTTTGAGTGATTCATAGTCAAAATAAAATGTGCATGTTTTGTGAGTTTTGGTTCAATTATGAAACAAGCTAGGCTGGTTTGGTCTGAGTATGAAACAACACTTTGAGTGGAATTGTTTCAAATGTTCTGTGCTGTTTTAGCTGATGCGATTGGAAGCTTTCTAGTTTCTTGCAACTGGACTGTTCCTTTTTGACTTTTTCTCCCTGGACCACTACAGTAAGGAGGACAGGTTATGTCCTTCTTGTTACTGGCTTAGGCTGGGGAAATGGGGAGGGGGAAGGTTCTGGAGCAAAGCAGAAGGCATTTAAGGAATTCATGATACAGTGAAGGAGCTCTTCTGGATCTGATTTTTTTCTCCACTGATTGTGCCATTGTTTGACTAACTGGAAGGTAAGGCTATGGGAAACTTGGACTTCACATGTGTGAGTTTAGGCTTATCCACACAGCTGCTTTGCCACATTTTCCTCTCATCTCAGAGCCAGGAGGAAATCATATCAGCATAAAATATGCTGCCCCCAAAGTGTGCCCTTAACACACATCTGGAACAGGACTATGTTCCACCACACAACCCTGTGAGGACAGTGACTGGTCGCTTTTCATGGAAAAAAACTGAACAATACCAACTGTGGGAAAAGCCACCATTAATTGCCATGGAGAATATGTGCTGGGGTAGTCTTGTTAAGTCCAGGCATTCCATCCAATCAATTTTTATTTCTATTCTTTCCCCCCCCGCCCCCAAAGACTGTTGATCTATCAACCTAATGACCTGTAGAGGGCAGCAGACTGTTTGTCTCTCTTACAAACCATGTAGTGGCTGCCTGGATTTGTGTAGTCTAGATGCAGCCACCCCATAAGTGATCTTGGAGACAGTGTTCAAGAATCGAGGCTGCCAAAGATAGAGAGAAAAAGAGATACATTTGCAGATAAGCCTATAAAAACAAGAGTAGAAGAAACAGTCCATGTCCTGACTGTCCTCAGGGCTAGGTTTATGATTTTGATTAAGAAGAGGTTTGCTTTAAAACATTTCTGTAAGAAACCCCATTTGTGTGAATAGACTGACTCCAATTCATTTTTTGCCAGGATGTCATCCTGTTCTGTAGATAATTGACTTGAAAAAGATGCGTGAGAAAGTAAGGCCTCTGTGTTTTTTCTTTCTTTCAAGCCAGATTAGCAACCTCTTCTCATATTCCTTTCAATTAGAAACCTCTAGGGCAAAGCAGAAGGCTACACTTGTGTTTTAAATCAGGAAAGGGCAGTACAGGAGGAGGATGAAACTAATGATTCCATAATGGGAATCTTAAAAAAATATGTATCTTTTTTCTCTGCTAATTTTTTCACAAGCTGGCCCACCAGTAGTAGCACTTTGCATGAGCTACTATGCTATCTATTCTTTTGATCTTGGGGTGAAAAGAAAGAAGCAGGAAGCCTTTTGGGGGGTGATCCCATTGTTTCCTACGCCCAAAACACTCAAAACATTTCAAGATTTCTTTCAATAAAATAAGGAATGCTTAAACTGGATCAGGTTTTGTTCTGGCAAAACGTAGACAACTCAAAATGTTTAAAACTGTTAAAAGGCATATTCCTGTGTAACATTCAGATTAATCATAGCACTGATTAACCTTGATGAGTTGGTACTTCACATTCCGCTAAACAGTAGTACCTCCATTATATCAACTTAAAAAAAACAACAACTTGTGATGATTCTTTTTCAGCAGTGTATCCTCACTGGGTTAAAAATCAAGCAGTCGCAGACAGCATTTTGTTTTCATCCAAGAGGTATTATTATTATTCAACTGATTTGCTACAATTGCCTAAGAACCTGCAATCTCGAGATATACTTCTACATAGTAATTTTAGTTTTAATAAGCTAAATACTCCTAATAGCTAGAGACATTTGACAGTATTTTGACAGAGCACCCCAAATTTATCCACAGTTAATGTTCCAGAACATTGCTGTGGGAAAATGACCTGGCCTTCAATTCTTCTTAAAACTTAAGATAGTATTTCAGATTTCCACCTACAGTCTGAAAAGATGTTGACACAAGTAACAGCTGTCCTCTTTCTTTATCTGAGAAGCCCAAGGCTAGGAGGTAAAGTCTTAATTATTTTGGTTAATCTCCAGACAATCATCAGTCACAGTACATTCACCAGTAAATGTAAAGGTCCAGTTTAGTCCAATTTGGTCACAATTCCCCATGCAGACTTTATTACATCTATATTCTTCAATTATTCAAGGATTCATCAGGCATTACAGCTTAATCTCTCCCATTCTATTCTACCTGAATAAAAACTAGATACTTCATTTTTTCCCCAGTGTAAATAAAGTAATGAACACTGATTACCTCTTTAGGTAAAGATACAAGTTTGTTTCTGTCAACGTTCAATATATTCAGCTTCTTTAGCCTTCCAATGCTCTTTGGCAAAGTCTGAAACAAAACAATGTCAGCAATTAATATTACTGGAATTTCAAAGTAAGTTGACTGTGCAAAGAAAGCAGTTAGCTAACAAAGATGCTGCAACTTTTTAAGAAATCACACCTTTAAATATAAACAGAAGGATGAACTGATAGATCTTGAGTTCTAAGATGGCCAAAAACTTTAGTAAGAGGGGTTCTAATGCAGTAACAATGAATAGTTTCAAATATCTGACATTTAAAGCGTTAGAAGGAAGTATGGTCAGTATTCTCACCTGCAGCCTCAGAATTATTGGTAAAGTTGCAACACTGTCCTGAGTAATGTGGGAACTGAGAGAAGAAATATTTATTTTAAAAGAGTGTCACACCCAGTCTGGAGCAATTTCTCACTCTTTCAGAAGCCTCTTATCCTACATGGTGATGGTCCTCATCCTCCAATTAGGATTTTCATGGTTTCAGAGACCAAGAGTTAAAACTACCTGCACTGTTTCTCTTCTCTTCTCCACTCGCAGGAGAACAAGAAAAATGAAGGCAATTCACATAGCAAGAAAAAGATCCATGGTTATTCTACTCATAAAAATACATTATTGCAAGTTAGATAGGATTACTACTGTGGTTCGTTCCCTCTCTCAAAGTACTTGCCTTATTCTGGAACAGTGGCTAAGTGATTAGTCTCAAGCTGGGGCAACATATAATACAGGGAGAATTAATTACAGCCTTTATTTTACTATTAACATCTGTCTCTAGCATACCACAAACCAAAAGGAGTAAGTTTCATTCTTACTCCTCTCCTTCCTCACCTCTGTAGGTTTTAACTTCTTCTCCATTTATTGGACAAATTATCCCATAACTCTATCCTATGAAGGTGATAAAACTACTTTTTTATCTCTGTCACTGACCTGGAACCAGCAAAATCTGTTGCAGCAAATGAACAAGGGAATTTGCATACAATTTGCTGATATGGTCAGGAAGGATATATTAATATAAAATCAGGGAGCATACACAAATGCAAATGACAATCTGGCAATTGACAGAAAGACTTCTGATGCATAAGAATAATTCAAAGTCATTCAAGCAAGCTTAGAGCCTGAATATGAATCTCATCCTCTGTGTCTCCCACTATTATTTCAAATCAACTATTACAATTTTATTGTTCCTATTAGAACTGAATTACACTTTTTGAAATAATTTAAAAATATAGGAAAGAATTAATTTTACCATATTTCAGACCCATACTCACACCCACATCTGTACCTCAAACTACTGTGATTGGAGAATCCTGTAAAATCATTCACCTTGACTAGATCCCAGTGTTGTAAGACAAAATGGCATATCTCTCCCACCTCTCACCTTAGAATTCTCCTTACACAGAACTTAAGGAGAAACTATACATTTTTTTCCAGATATACTATTTATATTCCCAAGATGTTCCACTTCTGAATCACTGATGAAATTTCACAAATTTGCATTTGGAGGGTTCTAAGGAGTCTTGCTTCAGTTCAGTTCTCTCCCAAATAGATCCAAATCAGCCTCATTTGGTTCAGGATTCAGTCAGTTGCACACCACTAACAGAGTGAATTGACATCAAAGTGAATTTTAATCAGATCTGATGTGCTTCTATAGTCCAAGATTCTTTCAGAATGTTTGTTAGAAACCAGGAATGTGGAATTCACTGACTGAGAATGGAATGTTTGATTCCTCCTTCCTATCATGCTCTTTGACCACAGCAAGCAAATTACTTGTACCAGGTGAGTTTTTTGCATTCTGAATTAATTTTTTAAAATCCCAATGCTTTTAAAAACTGTCAGTTTTTAAAAGACACATCATCAAACATCAGATTTGGAAGGGTTTTAGTTAAGGTGTTTCTCACCTCCCTCCAAAATCATTTGGGATAGTTTTATCTCTTTGCACCTATCATTTATTCTGCTAAACAGGATTTCTTTCTGGGGTAGCTGGTCCAAAGCTATTAGCCAATCTTTATTATTTAAATGACTGAATATTTATTATTTAAATTATTTCATAAATTACATTAAGAAATGCTATGTAAGTTTGGGAGAGGTGCTTGGAGAAGGCCAGAAAATAATTTAGCATGCTTGATGATTAGAAATAACATGGGTTAATAGAAATAATGGAAATTATGTTTTAAATTTAGAGTAAGAGTTTGATGTATATTGTTACTTATATCTGTTACAAGGAGGGTCGGAAGTCAATTTTTTTTCTTTTCTTTTCTGCACTTTTGATCTTTACTATTTTCTTTTTTAAGAAATGCTATGTAAGTTTGGGAGAGGTGCTTGGAGAAGGCCAGAAAATAATTTAGCATGGTTGATGATTAGAAATAACATGGGTTAATAGAAATAATGGAAATTATGTTTTAAATTTAGAGTAAGAGTTTGATGTATATTGTTACTTATATCTGTTACAAGGAGGGTCGGAAGTCAATTTTTTTTCTTTTCTTTTCTGCACTTTTGATCTTTACTATTTTCTTTTTTTTAAATTTTCTTTTTTCTTCTTCTTCTTCTTTCAATATTAGTTTTTGTTAGTTTTTACTGTTCTTTTTTAAAAACTTAATAAAGTTATAACAGACAGACAGACAGAAAGAAAATAATTCAGCATGCCAGCATCCTACTATATCCTGTACAAGATCATGTATCGATCCATCATTAGGACTTACACTTTAAAGCAGAGGTAGCTTTTTCCATCCACAGAGTTTCTCATGTACACCACTAATCTTTGCTGGATAATTTGGTATTACTATACAACCAAATTCAAGGGAAACTGCTTTGAAATGAATTTCATGCTATTCTCTCTAACTTTCTCATTCACCGTTCAGCTGACATTTTTTGTAGACTATAACTTCATGCTATTCAATATTGTGTTTAAAATGCCTTTAGAAGGGTAGTAATTTAGCTGTTTTGTACTTCGCTGTAATTGTCATAAGGTTGTAAAATAAAGTTTCTGCAGTCAAAATGAGTCAGGACATGGCAAAAGGATTAATTACTGCCATCATTTGAAGAGCTAAAAACATACTTACCAGCAGCTGGTTTTCTGTAAGAACTAATTCTGTAAGACTTTCACAGTTTCCTACTGCTTCTGTTAATTGAATAAGCCTGTTCTGGTCAACCTTCAAGATGGATAGCCTTTTTAATTTTCCTGTATACACAAAAATGGGCCTTTAAAAAAACTGTAGACAAAAGAAAGCTAGTGACCCTAATTGCAGCAATTATCAGCTACATAATTAATAATAAAACAATTTTCACTAATGCATTCTCCAAAATACTTAGATATCCTGTAAAACTCAGAGTTTTTAAAAAACTGTTTTACCTAGTAAAGTCTGGTTATCTTTCAAAAAGATAACTATTCCAAAAATATTTTTAGAATTAAAAAACAGCAAAGCTTCTATGGGTTTTAAAGTTTTTCTAGGCCATTGGCCATCCTCATTGGGAATGGTAGAAACTGTAACCCAATATTGTTCAAAAGTCACAAATTTATGAGAAGCCTGCCCAATTGGTATTTTAGCTGGAAGGTTAAAGATAGAAGTGATAATGCGAGACACTATACCCATGCCCTTTGTTTATCTTGATGAAGGTCTTCTGATAAAGCTATGTGGTAGATGTGGTAGGACACTATCAGCCCTTTAAGGCAGATCAGACTAGGAAACCATTGCCATATAGGTCAGTACTTTTATTGTAAAGCTAAAGTAATAGAATCTTGCAAGTCTGAATGTACTTCCCCCTTCCCTCCCTTTATCTTCATGAGATAAAGTAAAAGATGTTTACTTAGGTTACATTCCTGCCCCAGACTCAGTCCTCTTTTATCTGATCATTATCTTGGCAGTGGCTCTTCCTCCTGTCCCTCCAGGTCATTCCCTCTTCCCTCTACAGACAATAACTACTTTCCTCAAGGAGACTCACTTAGTGTTCCCTTTGTGTTCTTTTAGACACTAGTCAAAAATAAGTTTGTTTAGCCAGGCTTTTAAACTTGAAATGTGCCTTCTCTGCTGGTTGTCCAAAGGCAAAAGTGGGCAACAGGTGGACATCCAGATGCTGTTAGAGTGGAATTCTATCATCTTTGAACGTTGACTGTGCTGGCTAGATTGATGGGAGAGCTCAACATCTGGGAAGAACAAATTTTGCCCCTGCCTATCATAAAGAGAAAACCACACTCTAACAGGTGAACAACAGAAGTACATGTTTGACAAAAAAGCAAAGAAGATATCTTTGAGCAAGTAGTATATATGCATACTTATTATGAGGCATTCCAGCTGCACACTGCAAAAAATGTCAAAAACTACCATAACTACCAAAAGGTTGCTCAACTTTATAGTAATTGATAGCCAAAAGGAATATTCACAAAATATTATTTTCTGTACATCCTATCACTGATCCATGTACTAAAGAAAAATGTGTTTTCCAGGGCAATGGAGATAACAGTAGCTGAGAACTCAAAATAAAACCTCTTTCCCTCTCTCAGGGTTTGCAAGGGAGTATAAACATAGATAATTGTATGGGCAACATTACCTTCTTGAGATGAAGGATGGGATCAAAACAAAGTCCAAAAAGGATTAGGATGTGAGTTCTTAAACTATGGGTAGTGACCCCCAAGGGGTTGCAAGCAAAGTGGGGGAGAATGGAAATATTATGGGGCTTACCCACACAAAACCTAAGCCTGTGACTAAGACTGGGCTCTTTTTATCACTCTCCACCTACCCTAGAATCCACTGCTGGATTCTGTGGGCAAGTCTGGATATGGGTGATGCCAACAAATCAGGGCAAGGAGCCTCCATAGAACTAAGTGACCAGGAATCACTCTTCTTCAGGACAATAGAAAGGTGAGTGACCCTAACATTTTAATGTTGTCCCTGTGCCCACAAGCAAAAGCTATTCTGCCCAAAGCCAAGGGGAGTGCCAGCCAGCAGAGACAGCTGCTCTTTCCTCCCAATTAGCCTGCCTCACTATCTGGATTCACATCTGTTGCAAAGACCGTCCTAGGCTTTTCATTACTGCTGTCCAGTGCACAGGCTTACCTGGTACAGGAACCAGGAGGAGCAGTGCACAAAAAGCTACACTGCACAGCTCAGAAGAGTGAACTTCATCCTCTCAAGGCTGGGCCCATGACTGAGTTATCCACAATTGCTCCATTAATCAGGCTCCCTGATGGTCCTGCAGCCCAGAAATCAGGGGACAGAACTTTGTACTCGGGCAGGAGGATGCCTCATATTAACCTCCAGGTCTCCCTCCCCACTCAGCAAAATAGGGGTGCATGCACATAGGGAAACCATCATGAGTTCAGGGTGCATGTTTGGCAAATAGGTGATAGCTATACTTAACTATTGGCAGCCACAGATGGGGACTGCTGCTTTATCTTCCCCCATCCCAATTCAGCAGAAAGGAGTCACAAGCCAAACACTCTTGGCTGCAGTTTCAGATCCTGAAGTCAAATAGGGCTCTTTCTGAGTCCACACTTTGTACATGAATAAGTCTTTCAGTCTGCCCATCAGCAATACAGAGGAAGTCCATTTGCTGAGCTGGCTGGAAGCAAAAATAATGGCTCAGGATGCAAAAGAGGTGAACCACCAAATTTAGCCATTTTGCCAAGGACAAAAAAGCTATGATAGCCTTAGAATAGGATGGAGGGAGCCTCACGCTCATATCTCTCTTTGAACTTCCCTACAATAAACTACCGTCTCAGACCTTTCCCTCTCTTGCAACTGTACCTGACAACAGATCACACTGGATACTCTCCTCACCCCATCATAACACTCACTTGATTTTACTCTCAGACCAAGTATTGATTAGCCTTATTCTGATCCTTCCTTGCTGAAACCAACAGGTGTGAAAATTCATGGCACCTTTTCAGGGAGAACTGGTTAGGTGACCTGTTGCAGTGTCATCAGAGGTGAGCAGGAGCATGTAGTCATGCTCCCTTCCCTTAGGTCAATGGTAGAGTGTGTGTGCGCATGCGCGTGTATGTGTTTTGATGGTGGAATACAGAAGGTATACTTTTGAACAGACACTAACAATCACAGATTTGAAAATATGGGCAGCCTGCCCTTGAGGATAAGGATTTGGTTAGCAAGACATTATAGGTACAAGGTGGAGGCTACAATCTGGACGGCCCTATTTATGGACATTGCTTTTTAAACACAAGGTAAGGGCTATATTATTTATCCTGCCTTCTAAAGATTGAGGGAGGAGGAATACCAATGGCTGGTGGTTGCTACAAAGGGTACCCAAGAGATTCACTTAAGAACAGAGATGTCACAGAGCCAATGTAGTGCTAAGGGAGTAAGGTACAGGTTAAGGAACCCACGTAATGCTAAACCTACTATCAGGAAGAAGCTAATTAATTTTATTTATTGGGGAGGAATCACACATATCCATTTATCATTTTAGGGGGACACAGCACCATAAAGTTTGAGAACTCCTGGGTTAAGGTAATAATAGCTAAAGGACAATCTCTGAGCATATGAATCTAGTAAGGCAATTGGACTAGTCCCTCTTTAGTTCTCTTTTAAGACAATCAATTAGTTCTCTTTTTTAAAGATAATCTGATGCTGGATATGTGTATGTTTAAGAGGGAAGCTTTTATGTCATCTCACCAAAACACAAGCTTCCTGCTGAAGACAGAGCATGTATCTTCTCTTGGCTAGTGTTCTACCTAATGCTGAAAATTTGAGGGAATGTGTGTGGGAGTTATTTACCTGTACTTTACTATGTAAATTATTTACCATCCCCTTCACGGGTTTTTATTTTCTTTATTCCTGTTTTGTTAACATCCTTGCATGATTGGTATGAAACCATTTGATATTTCTCATGCATTGCTGTGTCAACTGATGCTTGAAAGGCATGTGTTAATAAATGTAATACAGCATTTCCGTATGTATAACATAACCAAATTGTATATACATTAATGCAGAGTTGTAGTTGTGTAATAGCAGTAGGCAGAGCTTGAAATGCCATGTATATTTAATAATTTGTATCTATAGCACAAGTGGATGTCACAAGCCATAGTGCAGTGTTGTAATCTGGAGATAAATGGGAGGTCACACTGCCATTTCAAATTGTTTGTTGCTTCTTTTCTAATATACATGTATCTCCACAGCTGTACAGGAATACAGTATAAAAATAGCGTGGTGGTTCACAACTGCTCAGCTGTATAAAATGGCACTGAAAAAATAGCCTCAAAATAAAATGTAAAAAAAATTCCCTGTCTGCAAACATCAATAAGCCATCTTCAATAAAAGGAATAAATTGGCTAAAAAGTTGTGAAACAGGGTTAAGCTTTTAAAATTATTCATACTGGTAAAAGTTACAATGTCATTAGACTGGAACATGCATAACATGCAATCCATGGAAACAACAATCAGTGGGGTTTGTGTGTGTGTGTGTATGTGTTTGTTTAAAGTAGTCTGGAGAAAAATAACTATTGAGGGAGCAATAGCATCAGGAGAATGTGTTGGGAAGTGCCATGTGAGAAAGTCAAATACCACAGTTCTAGGATAAAATACTTATGTAGATTAGTTCATTGTTTATTTATTTTTTGCTTTTAGCTGTAAGACGTTTTACAGACTTCCACTATGGAAGCAAAAAGCATGATACGTATATTAAGTAAAAAGTCCACAACAGCAAATATAAGCCCAAACAGAAAATCTTTGCAGGATTTCTAAAGAAATAAAGGAAATAGAAAATGCAAGAAACCAACCAGCAAAAAATTAAACTAGCAACTGAGTTGGCATGCATTAATATAAGCTCATTGAAAGCTATGCATTACAGCTTTCCCAACCTGGCAATCTTCAGATATGCTAAGACTGCAACTCTTAGAATTTCTGTGAATTTTTATGGAATATCCAAAAGGATATTATTTCCACAGAGGAGACAGATTTGCCTAGATGTGGACAGCCCAGTGAAATTACCGTTCCATATATGCATTTCCATGTGTACAGAAATCTCAGTCTGGGGCTTCATCCCAAAGTATTTCCAAACAGACCTAAGGACATTTATTAAATGTTGCAGTACAGGTAGAACACTGATCTTCAGCACTGAAGGAGATTATCTATTATTTGTATTCAAACATTTCTGTCAGGCTGGCATCCACAGAATTATCTGATTTTTATAGTCACCAGTTGATGAGAGGTATACTAATAAAAAATGCTGGTGTCCCCATTAGCTTCATAATACGTAATACATTTGAAAATCAGATCTAAGTCCAATATGCCATCCATCAATATATCATACTGACGTAGTCATGGGTGCTACTCTCAGAAGGAAGAATTAAGGTGGTAGTTATTTTTTTAAATGCTGTGATTAACTCTGTTAGAGATAGGTTCCATTAGTTAAACTCTAACTTCTTCATACATCTCCAGTTGTTCCCTCAGCAATGGGTAATGCATTTCAACTAATTGCAACATGTATCCAGTTACAGTAAAACTGCTGACTAGCTGCTTGTAAGCTATATCATCAAGAGTAGGAAAACAGACAACTAGGATGTTTAGCAAGTGGGAGGGAAAATAAGGATAAAGAGCAAGAGATCTCAGCAGTATCAGACAGAATAAAACAATCAAAATCCTTATGTAAATAGAGTTATTTCAATTGGGAAAATAACATGTCAGCAATCTTCTTAGAGGATCCTCTTTAATTATTATTAACATACATATACACTGCTGCTCAGTGAATTTTAGATTCAATATGCTAACAGTGGGCAATTAAATATCTTTAACTCTGGTTGACATTTTGCAAATAACGTCAATATTTCTTTGTATAAATAATGACCATCTATAAATATCAATTTGGGAAAATGTTGAAAATGCCCTTGATTACAGTGTAGAATACCAGCATAAAAATGAAATGAATTGCTAAGATTTGGGATTGAATAATAGTGGGAAATGTGTATGTATATGTGTTTGTGTAAGAGAGAGAGAGAGAGAGAGATTAGGTCTGTGCAAAACACTTAAAAGAATATTTGCAGAGTGTGTTAAGGTGAATAAAAATCCTCTCTTGAAGCAGCCATGGGACTTGCAAGGCTTGGGAAGTTGCTCAGCAAGCTGTCCCCAGCTGTCTCCGTTTGTATGTGTATGCACAGAACATATTTCCCTAGGACCACCAGTGAAGCAAAGTGGCTGGGCATACACATACAGGCAGAAAGAAAACTTGGAGAACCCCACTCTTGCAAATGATGCTGCTACATCAGCCATTAAACTAAGAGGTACTTCCTGAGTGCCAAAGCAAGTCACAAAGCACATCTTTCAAATGCCTTCCACAGCCCTAATAATATATATGTCACTTAAAGAGTAGGTATAACATTGATATAATAAGCAGATTTAAGATTACACTGTGGGAAAAAAAGCCTGAAGAAAATACATGGGCAGAACTAGACATTATTGCAAATGTCAGGTTGTCTCATGTCAATATCTTCCCACTCTGTAATGTGCAATACAACTTAGCTCCATGCTACATCATTATCATACTGAACATTTTTCCACTCTTGCCCATGGCAAGCAATAATGTGTTGAAACAGTATAATTAACATCCGTAGGCAAATCAAAGATACGGCATATTACAAAGTGACATGTAGCTGTTTTCAGATTCATTTTTTTATAATGGCTTCATTCAGGTGCAATACTAAATGTGTGTGAGCTTTAACCTCATGTTCTTTCTCACTGGCCATGGATAAAAGGATCCCAAACAAATCGATCTGAAATTGTGATTGTTTTAATCAGTTATACCTTAGATTAACCACAATATATTGTTCAGACCCAACTGCCAAATTGTTGTCACAAATAGAAGAGGAACTTTCCAATCTCCAATTTGGAGACAGGCGAGGGAATACATGGCTACTGTACTGAGATTTTCACAGGCTAATTCACAACTAAATCATGATTTAATAGAGAAGTAGCAGCCACAAAACCTAAAAGGAGGCTACAATGGCCGCATAAAACAATCCAAGATCATAGGTTGCCCACCTATGTCTTAGCGCTATGTACAAATACAGCCAATATTTACATTTGCCTTTATTAGCACTATAGCATTAAAACAAACAAAAAATGTTCCTAAGAAAAATAGTAATAATACATATTAGACAGCATGCATTCAGTGCCAATCATCTTACTTGGATTAAGCATTCTAATTTTTATTGTTTAAAAAAAAAAATTCCACCCACCTACACCATCTGGTAACATTTCAAGAAGATTCTGAGAGATGAGGAGGTCAGTTAAAGAGGTCAGACCACTTATCTCTTCAGGTAGCTTTTCCAGTTTGTTTTCAGAGATATCCAGACACAGCAGGTTTTTCAGGTTTCCTATTTCCTACAAAACAAAAGACCAGGTCATGCCTCAACGTGCAACACCCAGAGATCTGGCTTTTGTCCAATTACAGCATTCTTATGGGCAAGACTACAAATCCTCCCTACCAGATGGTAACACACTTGTGATGATATTACAAGTGAATCACCAGTAAAATCTGCATGTGCAACACCTAGCATGTGCCAGCAATCTGTTAGTATGCTTTCAGACTTTAAGGGTGCATAAACCAACACCCAACTCTTAGTATTGGCTCAAGGTTCAACAGCTAAACATAAAAAGGCTAGGTACACAAATGCAATTTCCCCTTTCTAATGACCTGAACAAATGTCATGACTCATGCAAGGATAGTATATGCGGATTTTATGTCTTTATTTCTTATACAACAAGAAGTACTACTGAAGCAACATTTTAACTATTTCTCTTTTTATATATATAAGTCCTGCTGCTATATCACTAAAATCTTGTATTTTGCAGAAGATATGAATGCTGGTATGAGACTGTAAAGTTAACTTTATTGTTAAAAATTCTGTTCACACAATGCACTCCCTTGCCGTACATTCACAGTTACGAATATACTGCCATAGATCAGCTCTTCATTCACCTCAGCACTCATTCTGCTAAATCAACACAGCTGAAGACAGACATTCCCAAACGACCACTCACACCTGCTCTGTTGAACGTCTCCCTTGTGTTTAGCTTTTCAAGAGTGAACTGGGTAGAGACTATATTAAAAACAAGCAACAAAAATCCCACTCCTTTATGGTAGAGAAAGTACCGAAGAAAGTAAGTTTCTACATATTACGCCCTTTCTAATTTCCAAGATAAGAAAATGCTACAACTGGGCTTTCTGTTTCATTCTTGTCAACTCTTCAAAATATCTGTTTATAAATCCTTCCTGAAGAATTTCAAAGGTGTTAAATCAGGAGGGCAACAATATTAACAGTACACATTTGTTTGAAAGTGTATGCTCACAAATCTCCTAAAACTGGATGCAGTCTTAAGAAACTTTGTGGCAGTCGATCATATATCTAATTCTGTGAATATTTCACAGACACAAGCCTTAATGTTTAGTTGTTCCACCATCCCCAAGTTCTCCACTAATCAGGGAAAATGCCTTATCTTACTTCCAAGTAAACAGACATATTGCTTTCATAAACAATATTATTCCAGAGAAGGAACTGGCATAACATTCTTGCCCAAACAACTTCAGCTTCAAAATGGAGACATAAATAATGAATGAAGATGAAGAGGCACTGACAGGTTGAAAATAAATATGTAATGTTAAAAAGAAACACTTTTTTTAAAAAATGGAATTTTTTTTAATGATTTACTTCAATTAGCAGATGAATTTAGTTGCAAAGCTACATGAAGTATCTGTTCTTACCTGAGGTATTTCAGCCAACTGGTTTCCATCTAACCATAGGTCTTTAAGATTATAAAGTGCACCTATAGTTCCTGGCTGCAATGTATAAAAGAAAGGATGCCACAATTAGCATTAAGCAACATAGCACAATAACCCATAAAGGAATCCAACTTGATTTTATTTCAGTGAAGCATCCAAAGTAGCCAATTTTTTTCTTACAAATAAATAAAGTGAAGCACAAAAATAAACACTATCATTTCCTGTTAGCTATTCACTGTGCCATTATTAGATCAGGGATAGGCAACATGATACCTTTTGGAATACTGAGTTACACTACTGACTGTTGGCCTAACTAATCTGAGGTAGGCAATTGTACAAATCCTTCCATCCTGCTGGCAGTTCGAAACTTCAAGGAGGTGAAGGAACAGCGCAGCTCAGCCTACTACAGTCTCTTCGCTGCTGGGTCGACTTCTGATAACTTCACACATACTGAAGCTTCTTTCTATCAGGCAAAGGGAGCTATTTCCCATAACCACAACATACTTAGCCCAAACTAGGGACAGAATCCTAGTCCTTTTGCTTGCAATTTTGTTTTTGTATATGTGACTTAGTTGCCTTAGTTCACAAGAGCAAAGGGTGTGTGTGGCTAGCCACTGATGAGGATGTATAGCCAGTTTACCTTACTAAATGTTTTATCAAACAGTAAGATAAGTTAAGCAGGATGTTAAGGAAGGAGACTCTGCACAAGGGAAAGGAGATCAAGGCTTATTTGGAAGACCTGAAGGAGGTTCCTAGCAATGAAACAGCAACAGCAATGGAGGAAGAAAGCACTGCCCACAGACATGGACAGACAACCGATATGGACATAATTGGACAACTAATAAAAGAGCTTAAAAAAGAACTGAAGATGGAATGGGATAAACATGCTGTGGGAGTAACTAAAGACTTGGCAGGTATGTTTGAGCAAAAATGAATGAACAATTTAAGGAAATGTCATGGCAAATAGCAGTTATAGCTCAGGTAGCCAGCAAAGCTTATGATACGGCTACAAGCAATACTCTAGAGATAAGCAAGGCTCAAAAGAGTATTTCTGAAATAAATA